GGTCGGCAACTCCCATGACCCCTTGTTCAAGCTCGATACCTTCAAGGGAGGTGGTGGTCTTCTTCTTGATCTTCTTAGAAGAAGACCTCTTGTGCACTATATTTATAGGAGAGACCTCAAATACCTCCATCGAGGCTTCCTCCTCCCTCCTGTCAGTTATGGGGCTGTCTTAGACATGCTCTCCCACTATGGTTGCCGTTTAGGTCGTTCCAGTCATCCCAGAGCTTGAACTCAACCTTGATTTGGACTGGCGCTCGCCCCCTGGGAGCTTTCTCTTCACAGCATTAGCAAACCCGCACACCATGGCTGTAAAAAGAGAAAATTGTGAAAATCATAAAAAAAAGTGGACAAGCATACAAGTGCTAGCGTACACTATATATGTCGATTGTAGTACGAACGAGGTTTAATCCATAGGGACTTGGTGTGTTATTTTAAGGAAATGGTAAAGAATACCAGAAAGGCAAGTAAAATAAAATAGATTTTCCTATAATAAAAACTGTAGAGAAAGTACAATAACGAAAACAATAAATGATCTAACAGTAAACACAACATACAGATACTGAGGCACGAAAAAGCTTTAGCACAATAATGGAAAAAGGGGTTAACAGACATGGGAAAAGCGGGGGAGATTTCTTATGCTCTCACTAAATCYCAACCTCTACTCTAGCATGAAATAGATTGCTATTGCTCAACTTGACACGGTTCCCTTACGAGATACCCAAACATGAATACCTACAACTCTCGTTGCTAGATACCGCAATAATAAAACCAGTTCTAAGCATGATTAAGGAACTCGATTTCTGAGTGTCCACGAACCCACTAAAGAAAAGTAGCTAATCACAAGTAGAGCATATCAATTAACCATATATCCATTTGGATCATACAGAAGCTAGCAAACTAAACAAGGTGGCCAACAATGTTCAGCAAGATGAAGAAATATGCACAGCTCTACTATATAACAAAATGAGAACAATAAGAATGTTGGTTGTTCAGTAGTTCCAGCATGTAAATCTCCCATAAAATGGGGTTTAGTTCATGGGGAAAGAAGAAAATGAAATGGGTAAACAGAAAATACAACCCATTATAGAGAATGAGACAAAAAATGCAGAATAAGTGACACCGGCATGCGATTTTCGGCAGCTACTCCTCTATGTCGTCAACTTCCTTCCCGAAAATGGTGAATTCCTGCTCCTTGTCTTTTTCAGCATGCAAGGAATGTTCTCTATTGGGATCTGTGTGTGTCGGCTAGGTCATCCTGTCCCTTTTATATGGGGCCCTAATTTTAGGGCACCCAATTGGAAATCATACAGACATGGTAAACTATCCCCGCGTGGGATAATTACTGCACAGTGAAACCATGCTCCAGCATGCGAATGCTCCAGCTTCTCAGACTCCCAGCTTAAGAATGCTTCACAATATCTTCCTAGGTTCGTACTTTCCTCAAGCTTTAGTCCTCAACTTTTAATTATGTTCAAAAGGGCTAATACTAGAGGAAATCAGCAAGTACTTAATAGAGCATCCAATACAAGGAACTTAAGCTCAAATCAAAGAATCTATTATCAATTATGATTTTCAAGAGCTAGAGTAGACACACATTAACATTAAACATTAATTAGCACCAATCTTCCCAAATAATTGCTAGAATAACTCCCTTTTGGAGAGTTATCACACCTCAAACTTAAAATCTTACTTGACAAACAATAGCAAGCATTACACCCCATTATTAAAAAAAAAAAAACAATCAGCAGCTTGCGGATCCAACATCCAGAATTATGCTCAAGCACTGTACTTTTTCCCAAAACACTGGAGCTAGCTTACATAATCTTGCTACAATGCTTTAGCTTGAGCATAAAAAAGAAAGCAACTTCAACCCTGCTCTCAATCTAGAAGACACTGTTTTCCACTGAGTTCTAACTTATTTATACTTCCCATTCATAAGCTTAACTTTCCCTAGTGATTCATTTCTCCAACCCCCATTTCACTTGCCTAGACACTTATCCTTTGTACCACCAACTTGGGCTTCTTCAACTATGGGCTACTAGCCCTTTCGAATCTTGTAGTCTTTTTTTGATAATAGATGCGGCCTAATAGCCTCTCCTTTTGTTTTGTTTTGCTTTTTTTATTTAAGGTTGAATTACAGGATTAGAAAGATTCATAGTTGTACAATATAACTACCAAAGGCTCTAGGATATAAATGACAACTCCATCAAATTTAGAAGAATGCATTGTCCTCAATGCAGCTAAGTACAACCGAATAAAATGCTTCAGCACTCCCCCAAACTTAAAGCGAAACTAGTATAAGATGTACAAGGCTACCACTAAGAGGATAGTTTAATATGTAGGGGGCGGCACGCTAAATGCTATGGGGATTTACAAGAGGTTCAGGCTAGCTATACAAAGATAAGGCTAGCTTTGGATAGGTGGCTGTTAGGATTGACTTTTTGCTGCAAAAATGTGACTCGGTAGACCTATTTCACCATAAAAACGAACCCTTTCCCATCATTTTTAAGTAAAAATGTTTACATATTCTTAAAATAGAACATGCATATAACATTTATGGATAATTTGAAATATGTGGTATTTTGAGAAAAATGTAAGAAAAGTGTGGTCGAAGTTGGAAGAAAATCACAGATTTCCTTTGTGTAGGAATTGCGTCTGGCGCAATTTGGGTGGTCAAGTCTTTCAAAACGTGCATTTCACTTAATGAAGGGCAAGGGTGTCGATTTACAAATGTTTAAATGGATCAAAATCGGCCAGCCCAAGTCAAGATGAGTTTGTTTGAAGGATCTCAACTCATTCCCCTATTTTGGTCGGAAGTTCTACAACTTTGAAGGCCTATATAAGGGAGTCTCTCCCCCAGCAGTTCATCATCCCTTTTCAATCCTTTTTCATCTCAAATTTAGTCACTCTTAGCTTTAGTTTACGTTTTCTAGCTTTAGAGTTCGTTAGAGTTAATTTCTAGTTATTATTTTCTTGCTTGTACTTGTTTTACTTTTAATTCAAGTTCTTTCTTTCATTCTTCATCTATTATGCTCTTTTAAAGTTCTTAAGCGAGTTTACACTCCCTTCAAGCTCGAAAGAGAAGAAGGTTAAGCTAGAACTCCTTGTATGTCGTTATTATTCATTTTAATTCAATGGAAATTACTTCTCTTATGTTTCCTTCCCTTTAATTATGCACTAATTTATTTGTCAACCTCTATGTAGAATGTCTTATCCACACAAAACTAAATCTCAAACAGTTTATTTGTTCACATGTGTTGGAACTGCTGTATCATGGCAATCAGTGAAACAGACCATAACATCCACCTCCTTAAATCATGCTGAAATTCTTGCAATTCATGAGGCTTGTCAAGAATGTGTATGACTAAGATCAATGACTCAGCACATTCGTGAAACATGTGGCTTATCTTCTAAAAATATTTCAACAATATTATACGAAAACAATACAGCATGTATAGCCCAAATCAAATGAGGATATATCAAAGGGGATAGAACAAAGCATATTTCACTAAAGTTTTTCTTTGAAGAAAATGACAACATCATTGTACAACAAATTGAGTCGAAGGATAACCTCGCAGATTTATTCACAAAAGTATTACCTACAACAACCTTTGAAAAATTAGTGCGCGACATTACAATACGATGACTTAGAAATCTTAAATGATGTTTTCATGAGGGAGAGCAAGATATATTGTATTCTTCTGGGTTTATTAGATTATATGAAATATGTACCAAAAGAACATGTGTCCCAATTGTATACACCATGTGTTGAATCCATATCTTTTTTATTTCTTTTTTCAAAGTCAGATAAGAAATGAGTGAGAGATGAAATGGAGTATTCATCTCCATCTCTCTTAACTAACGAAAAATAGAAATGAGCAAATTTTGGATTCTCAAAATTGATAATTTTTTTTTGACGCATGCTCTTTGTAAAGCCAAATCCGGTTTGCGCAGTGCTGCTCCATGTGCCTTAGTGCTCCATGTGTCGTATTTTCCTCAATGCTAGTGTCAATTAGTTACACCACATGGTTGTTCAATTACCTATAAATAGAGGCAGTGTGTAGTTCTTTGGTTCATGAAAAATTGGTGGAAAGTTCCATTTAAAATCTTGTGAATTTCTTTTATTATTTTGGTGTTTTTTTATATACATTTCCCATTTGCAGTCAGTAGTTTTGTTCTTTCAATTTCACAATAATAAACACATAATTCTTCCATTCTGAATCTCATTTCTAATTGTTTATACTCATTTGATAACTATTTTATCATAGATTTTCTATTTCTAAAAATTAGATCTAAGAACATTTTCATCCCCACATATTATCTACTTTAAAAATATTATTAAAATTTGTCAGATTTTGAAAACTAAAAAAAGTAAATTTTGAAAACTGATTTTTGTTTTTAAAATTTGGGTAAGCAATCAAATATGATTTTAAGGAAGGTGAAAAACATACCAAACCAATTGTGATAAATCAAGCACAATGTTTTAAAATAGAAAAACAAAAAACAAAATAGTTAGAAACACTACCGAGTAAAAAAACTTGCTTCAAAAGCATTTCCATGTGCTTTTTGAAATTTCAGAATCACTTTTACCCTATAACCAAACAAGTTTTAAACTTATTGAAAAGCCAACAAGTGTACTCAACATTCTCTAAAATTAGCTAATCAAAGTGTGAGCTGAGCAATGTCTACACATAATTTATCAGTGAGTGAACAAAATCTGGATTCAGCCATAAAAAAATACATTTTCAAACCAAAATTTCCTAAAAAAGTAGTGTTTCCTCATCCTCCAAAGATCTCCTCAGGCAGATTTCAACTTGGCTGAAGTTGAAGCAATATGGGAAAGGGTCCTGTGTCCCATAAACACCAACAAAACCCCCATGATGCCCAGTGCTTTCAATGTTGTAAACAGATCCAACTGTGAAACACAAACACAATTACAACTCAAGCATCCATGTTGAATATCAAGTCAAATAATTTCATCTAATTTTTCATAAAACCAAACCAATCCTTACAATTAACATCTGTGCACCTACCTTCAACCAGAAAAGTGTGTAAAGCAAGATGACTGCTGCAATGCTCAGATGGAAGAGGGAGGCGAACGTGGCAGGTACTCCTGAAGTCGGGAAGTTCTTCAGGTTCACGCCCATTTGCAGTAGCTATCGACAGATAAACAAAGCCAAACTTAACAAGTAGTAATTAAGTGGATTGATGATGACTGAAGTATAGCATATACCAGAAAATGACCAGACAACTAACTAGATGTCAATAGAATAAAAATTGTGGACGTGTTAATACGAATATATACGACGGTTTACTCAAGTGGTTGCTGATTGTAGATGTAAAAGAACTCACCCCGACCAAAAATCCGAGGAATGGCAAAAATGTGAGACCCAAGAAAGTAAGAGAGAGCTCCTTAGGTGGGCGCTTTTCCGGAGCCCTGAATATGTGAGTTATTTCGGCTTTGGGTCCATAGCGTGTGTAAGGATCGATGGGCTGTAGAGGTGGACGAGGTGCCTTCTCTGGTGCGTCAGGTAGATCCAAGTCAACGTGACCAATATCCCTTAAGAGAGAATTCTCCTGAAGAACGGAAAAACCACCAACTCTACTAAAGATTTCGGGAGGATTTTTTAAAAGGGAAATCATAAAAGAAACTGAGATTACCATGATGGCATCACCAACAGTCAACTGAATGTCATATTGACCTGAGAGATAGAAAAACTTCTCGACCAACCCAAGAAAGTTCTACAGAAAAAAGAATATTGTATACAGACATGAGCAAAATTATAAATCTACATAACTCAGTTCATCAGTTGACAAAAATGGGAACTAGCTGGCACTTGTAAATATTATAAACATATTCGGATCCAAAGATGTGCCATAGTCAACTAAATAAGTTAAAACCTTAACGCAGAGACCAGCACTTATACAGGTCTCAAAATAATTGCAAATTGGCAGCATGTTTCATGAAAACAGGGAGGAATAGGATTTGGACAAACTTAACTAGAATTATTTCAAACTGTTTGCCAGAGCCTCCAACCACAAAGACATGTTCAACACCACTCTCATGCCTCAACTTGAGAAAAGCCTGCAAGCAAACAAACTTGTCAAAAACTGTAAGACAACAAGGACGAAAAGGCAAGACAAAATTACAAACCTGATGCGGCTTAAAACCGTGTCCTTGTGGTGTGGCCAGTTGAAATGACAGACGCAATTTCTGTAGGTGGTTTGCCGACAATGAAACAACACTCTCACCAGCTAAATGAAGCCTGAATGAATCGAGATTCATACAAATTATATCTGTTTACTTACACGCTTAGAAGCATAAACGAGGATCGAAAGTGTTCAAATGACTCAGTTTAATAAAAAACCAGTGGAAATATAAGTTCTAGAAAAATAATGTTACATCTTCTGGGTCTCAATACTCCCTAGATCGCTATCAAGAACTGCAATCTCTGCGTTTTCAATTTTGACAACTCCTGTGATATATATTGGCACTCGAGTCTGCCCACCAGTGGTATAAATATCCTTGTGCTCTGAATCATGAAGAACAATCTAGAAAAGGAGAAAATAACGTTTTCAACATATCATAAGATGAATTCTGAAAAGACGTTTTCAACATATCATAAGATGAATTCTGAAAAGATGTGCTACAATAAATATAAAGAGAAAATGGTACCTCAAATACAAACTCATAGTTTCCAACATCAAAGCTCTTGGGAAAAACATCCAAGATATGTAACCCAGTCTGAGGATCAAACTTGAGTTCCTATTATTCAAGAAAAAGAAAAATGATATACATTAACAAATGAAGTGATGCAAGTTTGTCATAAAACCAACAGCTGGATTAAATGGAAAGCTTTCAGGTGACAAAATTTAAATAGAACGAAGTAAATCTGTAGAGTGTTAACTATCAGACCTGGCCCTCGATGATGGAAGCATCTTTTGAACCAGAGAGCAAAGCTCTTACTATCTTCACGGTTAAATGAGGTGCAGCCGAACCAAGCACAGTATTCACTCTAACCTGATAAACATTTGACATTCCAGATAAAGCAAACTTTACCAATGACTTGTATTATGAAGTCTCTTAGATGGGCCAAGAAAGGGAAGATAAGGGAGGTGTTGAACCTCACTGAAGACTATAACACAATTCTAAACCAGATTCTCTACAATACTTCCGATTAAAACAAATGAGATATCAAGAATGAATAAGTTGGCCTGTTAAGAACTGCTAGAAAGGTGCCCTGGTAACGGAAGCAAGTTTGGCAGTGGAACAAACCTTTAGTTGGTCTTCCTTCGTTAATGAAAGAACAGTAGCTGGAAGAGATAAAATCAACGGAATTGAAACCCTGTAGCAGGAAAAGGAAGTTGAAATGAAAAAACATTATAAGAAACTACATATTTTATCACGTAAAGGAGAGAATATCGTAAGTCGTGAATAAGAAACCCAACCCAAATGCATAAATTCATAGGTTCAACAGTTGAGTTTGATAATAAGATGAACTATTCTCAAGGAAGCCCATGAGAGGCTCTTCCCATCAAAAATAAGTGAACCTTCAATAAAAATAACAAAGAACAGTGTGCCCCTTTCTACGTTGAAACAAATATTCTAAAAGGACACGCCACTTAAAAAAGATAAACAGAAAGGAATAGGCAACAACTACTAAAACTTTTATCTCTGATAAAAAACATAAAAAAAAAAATATTAAAAGAAGCATTAATATTAAGAGAAGCATTAATTTTCCTCTTCTTTCTAGGAAAGCAAAAGAAGACCGCAAAAAGAAAAATATCCGGATGAGCCCCATCTTTTTTATATAAGAAAAACATCATAAATAGAAAAAGAAAATCATAGGAGAAAAGATAGAGTATCCTTCTAACCTTGGCTGAGGAGATTACAAAAAAAGACAATCAATGTTCATAAAAAGTTAAATTATAAGTTTAGTCCATGAACTTCCAAGGTTCTAATAGATTTTTAAACTTAAAATGTTTAATAAGTCCCCAAGTTTCAATTTTATGTCTAATAGATTCTTGAACTTTAAAAGTGTAATAGGTTCCTAAATTTTCGATTTTTTTTTTATATTCGTGAGTGTCTGCTCACCTCGAGTAATAGATCAGACATTTGATATATATTGTTATTCTTATTCAACATTAGACACAAAATTGAAAAATCAAGATCCTATTAGATACTAAAAAGCATGAACACAGCAACACGTATTTTTTTTAAAATGTAGGACATGCACAAATTGGGGGACATTTATTTTTAAAGAATATGCATACATATTGATATATGCTCTTATTTGTATTCAACATTAGAAGCTAAAAAATATAGAACGATTCGAATGGCTAGAAGAATGTGTTATCCTTGTTCCTTTTCTTTCATCAATGCAAAGTTTGTTTCTTGATCAAAAAATAATAGGTTATCCTAATTGTTAATAAATGATCAACATATAGGACTTGTTAGAACAATCAGAATCTAGAAGAGATCTAGAACATCTGTCTTTTACGAAGTTTAGAAAAGACAAGAAAGTGAGGAACCTTACAATAGCTGGTGGCAAAGTCGGTAAGCGCCATCATTTGGCAACATACCCTTTCACAGTCCGTCCATGATGGTTTCCTTTTTTCTCCACTTAGTTTTTACGGTCTTTTATTTTAAGGGTTTCTGTGTTTTTTTCTTACTTTTTAGGTTGAGATGATGGGCTTAATGGGCTAGATTTTACTCGTTCCAGATATTTGTTTTATTTTTCTAAATGCATTTCCTAGGTGTTTCCAGGCATGTTCGAAAATGTAAAGAAAAAAAATAATAAATAAATAAATAAAAGAAATTGGCAAGTTTTTTGGCAGGTCAAACCGGACACATGTCCGAATGAATCCGTGTGCAACATGGAAACTTCGCCTAAAACAGTGTATGTGTGCTTCTTAGTGAGACACAAAATCAAGTCCGTGAATGTTTTAAATTATCATATATGTCAAGGCAGTTGTCCCGTGAGATTAGTTGAGGTGTGCACAAGCTGGCCCGAACACTCACGAATATAAAATATATACATATATATATATATATGTCAAGGACCTATTAGATACACAATTAAAAGTTTAGACACCCATTAGATACTTTTAAAGTTTAGAAACCTATTAGATACAAAAATGAAAGTTTAGGATCCTCATAAAAACTTTTTAAAGTCTAGGATCCTGACAAACACTTTTTAAAGTCTAGGGCAAGAACCTATTAGACACAATCTTAAAATTCCAGGATGTAATTTTAACCTTAATAAAAAAAATAAAAACTGGTTTAGCTCTGTCCTTGGAGCCTCAGCCTCCCGGTACTTTTTCTACCAATTCGGTTTTCATTCACCTGATTCAAATGCAACTTTGAGGTCCCCCTGGTGAATCCTATTTGGATATTCAAGATACCAAAGAAAGTCAAGGTGTTTCTTTGGCTGCTTTCTTACACAAGTCTCAGTACTGCTGATAAACTTCGAAAGAAGTTCCCCCACTTTTATCCCCTTGGTTTTCTGCCTTTGTAGGAAGATGGTGACTCTCAATTTCTAGATCACATTTTTTTTCGCTGCTCTGTTGCTTTTAAGGGTCGGTCCTTTCTCTTCAACCAATTTGGGTTGTCAATCTTTTCCCCAATCAGGTGGACGCTTGGCTTTTGGAATCCTTGTGGGCATGAGATTCAAAAGCAAGGAAAAAGTTCTATCGAAATGTGTGGTTAGAGCTCTTCTTTCACTTATTTGGAAGGAGAGAAACCACAAGATTTTTCAAGACAAGATCGGAGGAACTATTTTGTAAAGTGAAGAGCATACCTGGTCTAACGCCCCAAGGGGTAGCCCGGTTGGCAAGGGCTTGGAGTCTCTTGGTCATATTGGTTTAGAGGTCTCAAGTTTAAACATTCCGGTGACTTAAAAAC